ACACCACGTCCAGAACACCTCACTATGAATGTGAATGGTACTTATGACCATTGGTCAATGGTGTTTGATCAGTGGTTGTTCCTAAATGGTCATGAAAATTTGCATATTAATGATCAAGAAACTGACTTCACAAGAAATTGTTCTAGTTTCAGTCATTGTGCAAATGTACTGTTTATAAAGTTGGGGAAACTTGCAGTCAGCTGAGACTATAGAAGTCACTTTCTCCCACTGAAAACACTACGTCCAGATGAACAGAATGAACCTTTTGGGGTCATCCATCCAGTTTCTTCTACTACTCTAAATCAGATAATGGGGGTGTGAAGCTTATACTATGCTGTCTTAAGGCGAGAGTCAGGGTATGCCTTGAAGAGCTCAGCCTCCATCACAGGAGAGAGAGACACACACAGAGAGACAGACAAGCATTCACACTAACACTCACACCTACAGCAAATTCAGAATCCGTAATTAACCTAACACCATCCATGTCTTTGGACTGTGAGAGGAGGAGCCACAGTAAAACCCACGCAAACACAAACACCACACAGAAAGGCCCCAGACTGGATTCAACCCCAGAGTTTGAAAAAATTTAAAAATTAAAAACTTCCAACTGAGATGAGTGTCAGGGAGATTTGTGACAGAAAGACAGCTTTAAGCGTGAAGGGAAGGATGGTAGTAAGACCTGCTGTCATGCATGGTTTGGAGACAGAGCTGGCAGGTTTAAAGATGCTGGGATTTTCCCTGAGAGTCATTAGAAAGAATAGGTATTTGGACATATCAGGTTGAGGTGTTTTACTGACAAAGTTGGAGAGACAAGGCTGAGATGGTTTGGACCTGTGCAGGGTAGGGACAGTGAAAATGTTAGACAAAGGATTTAAAATGAAGATGCCAGACAAAAAGAATAGAGAAAGATTCATGGGTGTAGCGTAGGAGGACAAGCAGATTGTTGGTGTGACAAAAGAGGATGCAAAGGACTGGGTGAGATGGATGATCCACTAAGAAGAAGATGAGGTGGAGAAAAACTAAAAATCTGTGTAATTTACAGCACCTGTTTGATGCATGTGTAAAAAATGTGACCTGCTTCTAATAAGAATCTTTTAAGTGAAAAGGCACAAACACGGACTATCAGGTCTAACATCCTCATGTTGCTGTTGTTCCTGGATCAACATAATAATGTTAGTCTGGGAGCATCATTGTGTTGTCATATCATTGTGTCCACTCAGGAAAGAAATCAAAAAATGGGGTGTGAGGGTCAGGGTTAGGGTTGGAGAACAGGGCGGTCAGGGTTACGGGCTCAGGTTTACCATTTGGTGTGTGGTGTGAATTTGTTTCCACGTGGCAAAACCATTACATCACTACAATCTCATTGGTCACTTGTGATGTCCAACCTGGACCAACATTAGCTTTGTTGATCCAGGAACAACATCGACATGATATCAGCTCGTGCTTGCTATTAATCTGTTTAGGCATCTCTGATTATCTAAGTATCAACACTAAGCAGCCAGTCACAAGCTTGCAGTTAGAGGGAGGTTTCAGATCGTGAATGCAGCTCTGTTCATAGTAAAGGCATACCCCAGGACATACAGATTATAGTAATGGTTAATTACAGTTTAATCTGATACCTTCCAGCTGCATGTCCTGTCTTTCAAAAAGAACCAAATTCATTCCATATATTTACTTTCTGTTGATCAACTAATCTGCTAATTAAGTAGGCATTTGAGTCATGCATCACAAGATACGCGCATGAAGTGAAACTGTAGGTTTCACTGTTTGACAAATCACACAGTTTAGTCTGACACACACAGAAGATATTAGCAGGGGGATTAAATTAGACAGTCATATGTGAGCAATCAGCTCTGCAGGGCTGCAGCTGAGAGTCAGGACGAGACCCGGCTCTCGCAGAGGACTCAGTCATGCATGATACAGTATGAGAAGCTACACGTCTTTATATACTCTGTGTTAGGAAACCTTCCAGTATATTTACAAGAGATGACTCAAATTTAAGGCAGAGAAGTTGTTTTAGAATCACTGCACATCGGCAGAGCTGAACTGCTCATCCAAACCATGAGCGCCAAGAAGCTTTTAGAGAGTAACAAATAAAACATTTGCATCTGCTTTGCTTCTGACAAATCGTGTTTTACCATTTTTAAATGCAAATGCCTCTGAAATATCCTCAGCACATGCAGACATGTATAAGAAGCATTTCAGAGGTATAAATTGACTCAGAATCTGACGTTATTTAAGCAGAACATTATATAACCTGTTTTTTGTTTGTTTTTTCACAAGCTTAAATTTCAGCCTTGGCTCACCTTTAATAGCGCACTTAATCGTCTTTAAACTCATTATTTAAATGCACCTTGGATGTTGTAACTGTTCCTTTCCTTGGATTTTGTCCTTTATCTTTGACCTTTTAACTAAGAAAAAAATCACCTTCAAACTACAAACAACTGAATGATGCAGGAAGCAGGACACAGTTGATCAACTTTTAGCGTTAATCCACCAAAACATTAGCTGCAGTAGCAATCTGGGAAGTTGAAGGACAGCCAGTGTCCAGTCTGACTGTTTTGGAGTTTTGCATTGTCACATGGACCTCTGTTCGGTGACATTCAGAAAAGTCAAGGCTGCAGTGCATCTGTGAAAGCAGGGATAGCTGCAGAAGTAACTCACCAGAGGCAACAATTTAAAAACCTTTGGAATGAAGGTTTCAATCACTGCCAGGCGCCGATTAATATGAAAGACAACTCAAAAGTTATGAAAATTCAAATTCTGCAAAAGCTGGATGATTTTAAGTGTTTTGGTAAAGATCTACTACAGCAACCCATCTAATATGTGAAATAAAATGACTGAAATGGTAAAAGAAACTTCATCTATATCAAAACGCCACCTTGTCCTTTGTGGTCACACAGACTTTTTCTAGGTTTCAGTATATGAAGCATGGATGTCTTAAATCTCCATTCATGATGAGGTGACTAATGAAGTTATGAGTATTTCACAATCAGAGCCACTGAGGGCTGGTCTGAAAAGGCTGGGATGTTGACAGTGAACACTCAGCTTGAAGCTTCTCAACACAACTCAATTTTTCAAATACAACCTACGAATAATTACTGAAACATGCTGAAACATTTAATGAGTAGCAGTATAGAATAATGCATCGTCAGCCCAAAGCTCCTGTGTGATTTTGTATTTGTAAAAAATAACTGAGTTCCTGGAGTGTGTTTACATGGTCATTCTGCTTATGAGGTTTATCCTGGTTATATCCAGGAAATTACGTCTGCAGAGAAACCTGCTGCTACAGGTTCCTGTATACATGATAAACACTTGTATCCTGGTTACTGATTAGTGCATGATATTTGCACAGGAACGTGTGACAGCAGCAAACACAAATTAGCAGAAAGGGCTGGTGTGACATTTCTGTAACTGTGACTGCAGGCTTTAACTCCTTCACACCCCAGAGGCTGAAATCATTTCCCTAAAAGATTGTTTGTGTTTGTGTTGTATTACTTGGCTTAATCTGCTGCAAATAGTCAGCAACACACCACCATATTCAGGTTTTAAGAAAACAGAGCAATGGGCTCATGTAGTTTTAATGAAGGATATATTTGTCGTGGTCCCTGAGTTTTGAATTTCTTGTGAACTGATGATTCCACAACCAGGTTTCTTCCTCTTAAAATTAAGTTTTCCTTCCCACCATTGCCAAGTGCTTGTCTCATTGGGAGTCATGTGACATTTGGGGATTCTTTCTAATATTACAGAATAATGCACCTCGAGGCGTTTGTTGTAAATTAACACCATATGAATAAAAGTGAATTGAATTTTTGTTTTTGAGATCCACTATGAGCTTTGTTTCCTATTTTTTTTTGTAATATTAGTGAGTGTCTAGTTTAATATTGATAGAGTTTTTATTCACTTATGTTTATAAGTCTTGTTTATGTTCTACTTCGACAGGGTTCTCTGTGGTTTAATTTTCAATATTTTCAGTTGTATTTACAACTTTTCAGTTGTATTTAGTTCCCTTTTGTTCCCTATTCTGTTCCAGTCTAACCTCTTTAACTTGTCACGAGACAAAGAAAGACAATAACAATCTTGTTTCCCCATTCTATTACTTCCTGTTTTATTTTGGTATTCGTTGTTCTCTGTGTTCCCTCTGTCTTGTTATGTTTTCTTCAACTGTGTTCTCCACCTTTTTTCATTTCCCTCGTTACCTGTCTGTACTGTCTCAGTCGTCCCTTTGTCCTTTGTCACATCGCCTACATTGTTATGTCTCGTTGCTCTGTGTTCCCAGAGAATTACATTCCTAATTATCCCTGGTATTTATATTTCCTGGCTCTGTTCGGTAAATGTTTTGGATTTTGGGACTTTATTTATCTCTTGGTGCTAAAAGCATTACAGGTTCAGTTTTAATTAAACCTCAGTCTCTGGCATAATATTGTGCATATGTCCAAACTCAAAAAGAGATCATAGCTAGAGGTGATTCATGAAGCAACACTGTGTAACGCCACCACACTGCTGCGAGACGATTCTTTCTTCAGTTGAACAACAGAGTAAGACGTCTGATTACTGAAGCTGATTACATCAACTTGATTTCAGGAGTCACAAACATCCAATTAAACTTTCCTTCGTGTGATATCAACAATTTAAGCTGACCAACTTTTTGTTTTTCAGCCAAGATCCTCTTCACCTTTCAATTTGTGAAAAACAAGTTGTGTCAGACATAATTTAAATCAGCATGTAAGATCAGATGTGGTTTGAGCAGAAGCTTGATGCAGACATGTTTGTTCTTGATTTCTTTGTTTAAATTAACTTCACTGTCCTATGGATGCCTTCAGGTTCAGGAAACAATGAATGCCGCAATAGCATCTTCACCAATATGAAGATTTCTTCCTTCAGAGCAGCTCTGCCTCTCTGATATGTTTTAAAATCCAAACACTCCCATTGTAATGTTCACCAAACACACATTATTAACAAACCTGCACATCACAATCACCTGCACTTAAGTGTCTTACCTTGTTGTCATGCTGTGCCAAAGCTGGGCTCCTGTGAAAAAGAACCACAGATGTGTTATTCATCAGCACTCACGCGCTCACACCCACTGCAGAAACTGTGGCAAAGAGAGAGCTGAGCCTGAAGGCTTAGCTATTGATTTATTGGATGATCTACATTCCTGCCCTCACCTATCGAGCTGTTGGTGGTGACGGTAAGAATATCCCCTAAACCCGGATAGGTAGTAGAAAATGAATGGATGGAAACAATGATAAAATGGCTGGAGCAAACTGTAATGTAGTTACCACAGGCTATGATTGGGCTCTAAATGTAATATAACAACCATGTAATAAAATAATGTTAAAAGAAACATAATTTGTAGATGAAATAAATGCTTAACAAAGACCCTTTTCATGTTTCCAACCACAGGTTAATTAGATATAATCTTTTTTTCTATGTGGTGGCTGTAGCTCAGGTGGCAGAGCAGGTCAGCCACTAATCAGAAGGTCGGTGGTTCGATCCTGGCTGCATGCCGAAAATCCTTGTGCAAGATCTAACCCCATGTTTGCCTACTGAGCGCCCGGTGGCGCCAGTGTCCTGTCAGTGCGCCCCAGGGCAGCTGTGGCTACAATGTAGCTTGCCATCAACAGTGGGAGAATGACTGAATGTAGTGTAAAGCGCTTTGGGGTCCTTAGGGACTGAGTAAAGCGCTATACAAATGCAGGCCATTTACCATTGTTATAGTGCTAATGATTACGGTGATGTTATGAAATTATACTTAATGACGTGAAGTATGCAAAAACAGTTTTCTTTAATAGAAGTGTTAGGTGATGATAATGAAAGTTTTCTACAAAGAGAAAACTATACTGATAACATTAAACTTAAATAACTGCTGACATCAGGAGTCCAATGTGTTCAAAGTGTAATTGTGAGCAACAGTCAGGCTGATGAGTCACCATCCGCCATGAAAGATGATGCCTCATCCTCACTCATCGGGCTAATAAGCCAGGATGAAGCTGAAATCACGTAAACATCCGAACCAAATAGATTTGGTTGGTTTCAAAGCAGCCATTTATAACTCTGGTGAGGGAACATCTTGGGTTTAAGCTGAACGGCTTATTTATTTCATTTTAATTTTCCTCTTCATTTGTCAGGGATGGAAAAAACATTTATCTACTAATAAAAAAGATCCACTGTATCAGATTTAGCTGTTAGCTATTTTTCGTCCGCAGTCCCTGAAATATAAATATAAATAAAGAAATCACCAATAAATAAATTATAGTAATAAAAATGCTGTTGACATTTCAACATAATAGACCAAACATTTACCAATAATTTCAAAACCACAGACAGTATCCACATCCCATATATCCATTACGCTTTCTCATAAATATCAAATACATCTAAATAATATATAAAAGCCTTTTTAAAATCTGAGCTCTTCGTTCATTCGATGCGTCTTTTTGTAAATGTTTTATATCCTTGTCAACAGCTCTGTTAGTTTATAGGGTTTGTGCTACAGCCACATCACAATCCTCCCCTTAAACACTCCCTGGTGCTTCCTTTTTTCTCTGTCTTGTATTTGTTTGGTGCCTCCCCCCTTTGTTTGTCTGTCTGTCTGTGTTTTTGTTGTGGATGGGTGTGGGCGAGGTCTCCCTTATTCCTGGCTCCCAGCTCTGCTCATCCTGCACACCTGCCAACAATCAGCCCCACCCAACCTGTTCATCTGCCTTCCATCCACTGTGTTAACGTTTTCTCCAACCATTCCTCGCCACAATGCAGTTTCTACCTCAGTAATAGCACTTTGAACACCAAATTAGAACTTGCTTGTAGTAAATCTGCTCTAATGTTTCTTATCACAAAGCTTTCTCCATTTTTTCTTCTTCAGGAACATCACCCAGCTGCCCGCCAGTCTGCTTATCCCACTAAAACCAGCTTCAACCTCCTTTACACACTATTAAGATCTCTGTACTTGGGTTCCACCTTTACAGTTTTGGTTGTAATAGATCATTCATTCTTTTCTATATTTAGGGTATTTATTTTTTTACATCTTCTAATCTGAGTGTCTGTCGTCTTTTTAATTACCAGGGGTTGATTACTCCCACAAACGCCCCGCATACATTATAATGCTATTACTACATCTACAGCAAAAGTGGTCCTGACAATAATCTGTCCATTTTCTCAAACACTGGATGCAACGCTGCAGCCTGCACCAGCTTTTGGTTCACAGTGACATTACACAAGACTACAGCCTGGCCCTACTTCAGCATCACTTGATGTCTCTGTCACACAATACACAGACTCCTGGGACACAAAGTCATCACTCAAAAGTGTTTAAACTGATTTCAAGCAACTTTTTGTAAAGCACCTTTACACACCTTGTGCACTTTGACAAACACTTTAGTGTCAGTTGGTCTTTTATCGGTGTCAGTATTTGTATTTAAATGGGTTTCGGGGCAGTTATGACTGAAGATCCAGAGTTATGAGATTAAGGCAAGGCAGTTCCTTACTAGTTATTCTTCTCTTTAATCGACTGATCATTTGGGGGTTACCTGCGGATCTGGACCGAATTACATCTCGGGTGGTGACCGTGATGACCAGCAGGGCCAGGAGGAAAGCCAGGAGGGTGTAGGCCCGAAACGAGTCAAAGGCCACAAACCTGCAGGGAAACAGAACAAAAGTTTCACTCACAGCAGCTCACTCAGGTTGTTGTGATGCACTCCACAGTTTAACTCTGTGGAGGTTTTAGCAGATCGATGTTTATTTTTGTGGAGCTGTTTATACAAGATGATAAAGCTTTATATTTTGATTTTGGATACATAATTTTACATCCGTGGATGTAAAAAAAAAACCTCACCATCTATTGTGGAGCTAAAATATTCTCATATTCTTTTGCTATAATGAAAAAATGACCCTGTGTCAGAATTTTGAGCTTTTCTGCTTTCCTTACTCAAAAAGTCAGGATGCAGAATTATAACAGATCTGTGTAACGAAGACTTTATAACAGCAATCTATGCTTTTCCTCTTTCAGTACATTAACCACTGCAGCAGTGATATAGCAATGCTGGAATATATAAAAATACTAATACAAACAAAATTAAATGAACACTATTTGGGGTTTTAAATGTTTTTTAAGTGCTTTTACTGTTGACTAATTATAAATGTAACTCTTATTTTTAGGCCATAAAATACATTTCAAACAATATATTGTAACAGAATGAGAAAAGTGAAATTTGTTTAAACAGACAAACAAACATAAACTTGACGAATTTTGTCTCATGAAGTCCCAAATTATTGTGATTTGTTTGTTTTTTTGCTCATGGTGGTAGCGGTTTGTTTTGACAATGTCCCTGATACAGACATTACATATAGAAAAATATAAGAAACATACAGAAAAATATAAGAAACATACAGAAAAATACAGAAAACAGTGGCAGCTGAGTATTTACAACCCCTTTTTAAAGATCATCATTATTATTATTAGTGTGTGAAGTATAGATGAATTTAAAAGTAACAACGTCAAATGATTTAAAAGATATAATAGAAAGAAAGGACTAAAGTTGAAATAATTACGCCTTTAATGTGGAATTACTAGGATGTCATGATTTTTTAACAGTATATTTAATATTTAACTTAAAGTCATAATAATTATTATTATTATTTATTTTTATTAACAGGAGCTCAGTGCTGTGAGATATCCCTGCGTCATGATGCCTACCCGAACATCGCGTTGGCTGCAGCAAACAGGGCTGAAGTCCTGCATGGTCTCCGCCTCCAGCTGACCAGGCCGGTGAGGCGACACCCTGCGCGGCCGGGAAGGGTCTCCTGATCCCGGCTTGGCGGTCCGCTGGCCGCGGCCACCTGCCCACCTCCGGCGGGTCCTGCTTCCCGGCTCCCCAGCATTGAAAAACGACCGGGGTCCCTCCGCTCTGCCCCTCCGCTCCTTCAGCAGAGATGGGTGTTAAGCAAAGCGGAGACTTTACTGAGCTATTTCCGATTCTGAGGTTTCAAAATAAGTGTCTCATAACGCGTTCACTTTTTGAAAATAGTCTAAATGTTCTTTTTGCAATTAAAACTAATGCGTTTAAATCATACAGACTTATTAAATTACTTTTTATCTCAGGAATATATAGTTTACATTATTATTCACAGAGCAAAGATACATAAGTGAAACAAATGCAGTAACAAAACATATGATAACCAATTAATAAGTAGCATGAAAGTTATTTTTTAAAGAAAATAAAATGAAAATATACGTAACTCAAAAGTGTGCTTAAGTGCTGTGTTTGAGTAAAAGTAGTGCTGCTCTGGAACAGTGCGTGCAAGGGGTGAAATTAAAAGAAAGAAATTAAATGTACAACAATTTTCTATCATTTGTATTAATTTTTCTTATTCTAACCAAAGTGTGGTAACTTTATATTTGAAACCTAGGTTCTAGCTTCTTATAGTTGTAATTAAGCAATCATTAAAATTATTTGCATTTCTTTTTGTCTTATTTTTTCTGCCTTTATTTTGAAAGACACAATCATCATGCTTCCTGTATAATTGTCTCAACTTAAATCAGCTGCACGCTTCAATTCCTGCCTCTTGTGTTGTTGTCGTTCAGGTTGGTGACGTCAGGTGTGTGTGTTCGTGTGTGTACATTTATTGAAGTGTAACATCTTTTGTTTGTGTTTTATTGTTATCATTATATAGCCTTTGTGTGTAAATGACGGAATTACTACTATATACTGCACATGTAACTACACCTACGTTAACTGCACTAAATAAAATCGAATCAGATGTTTCTCAGCTGCCAAAGTTAAAAGACTGAAGAATAGCTGCTTGATGCTGGCCTCCACCCATCCTGAAAGAGAAACAGAAAGTCAATATTTAACTTGCATTCATCAGAGACCCATACTATGAACAGATCTGTTTATGCCCAAACTTTAAACATGCCTGGTTTCTAAGAAATTAGCTTGAACAGCTTGGTGGCTCATGTTTGTTTTTCTGCCCACTAGTGGTAAAAAAAATCACTTGGTTGAGCTTTAAAATGAACTTCTATGAACTGTGCAATAAAACAGTACAGAAATAAGATAAATGTCACTACAAGTGATTCATGTTATTGTTACTGGAAAGCCTGTGTTTGAGTTTCCTCCCACAGATCAACAATCATGTTTGGCTAGCTGAGATTCTAAGCTGCTGTGGACCCAGAGGTGAGATGGACGCAACTTTAAGTAAAAGAAAAAACAAAACAAAAAAAAACATATTATATTTTAACATTGAGGTACAAAATGTTGCAAGCGCTTCAGAGCTGTCAAAAGCTACAGAGCAGGTTGTTTTGTTTTTTACACTGGTTCCTTTTTCATTCCTTCCAGCATCCTTGTACCTGACAATTTTCAAAAAAATGCATCTTTTTGTTTGTTTGCAAACTGAACTTACAAAAAAAATCCATCTAACTCAGGGGGTGACAATAAGCTTCAGACACCAAGCTTTGTACCATCCGCTTGTTGCAGAACCATATGATTTGTTTCTTCAGCTGATTCTGCAGAAAAAGTATCGCAAAGTAATTTCCTTAAAAAAAAGGAAAGAAATCCAGCAAAGACCTGACACATGACTTGGTTCAAGACTTTTGCACAGTACTGTGCTTATTATAATGACCAATATCAAAGTTTCCATAATCTTTGTGACAAACGTTTCCCTTTGCATGTGCCAGTTTGCCATTTCAGGGTAAATCCAGCCCTGAAACCACAAAACCAGTTTAGTCTTTGAAATTACTGTGTGAGACGATTGTGACTTTTATTGGGCACTTATCATTAGTTTTCTTAGTTTCGTAATTAAGGTGGCAAACAGAACAACAGCTAAATGACACTGCGTGAGAGATGGCAGACTGGGCTACCTGCCACACTCGACGGAATGAGCCCATCTTAACAAGGAAAGCTCACATCTACAAAGAGACGTTGACCCATTTTGCTCTGCTGCCTGTGCTGTTCTGGCCATAAATCAAGATCAGAGCTCACTGCCAAACCAGGATCTCCAACATGGACCTGCTCCACTTTCCACTGCTGGGTCCACTCCTTCAGTCCACACCAGTTCACCAATTCTGACACATATTTGCATCAGCAGGCCTGGTCTGAAATCATAGGTGTCTTTCATGGTAAGACATTTCTCTTTTCTTTGTTGTTTCAAACTGTTGACTGTGAATTTCAGCTAATGAAAACTGGATCGTGGGATTTAAATTTGCTGTAACCACGATGGAACCCAAATGGCTGATTTTGTGCGTTACTAGCTAACTGTTTCAGAAAACAGCAGCATTCTTACAAATAAAAAGATAATCCATAAGATTTCATGCAGAAACGTTAGCTGAAACAACCATCTGCACCCATCTAACCTGATAAATGGACACTAATACAGGAAATACTAAATAAAAACACAGGTTCTCATTTTGTAACATTATGCATGGTATTACATATGAATTTGACTCAGATGTGGGTAGATTTAGGTAGCGCTAGAAGGATTGTGAAAGATTGTTTAAAAAAAGATAAAACCATGTCGACTACTAGCTGTGAAACAGACTTGTAATGTTGCTGACCCCATCATCCACCCCCACCTCCACAGGATCTTTGTTTCTGAGACAGGAGTGTCATTATACACATGGCGACACTCATAAAGATAGAAGTTATTTACCTGTTTAGAATTATCACCGTGGATTTAGAAGAACCAGGCATTTCTGTAGGGATGGATGAGAAAACACATTTCTGTTTTTACGTGGGCACATAATTTTGCATATTTACACACATGCTCACAAACACACACACCATAACATACATCCATCCATCTTCATCCGCTTTATCCGGGGTCGGGTCGCGGGGGCAGCAGCCTAAGCAGAGAAGCCCAGACCTCCCTCTCCCCAGCCACCTCCTCCAGCTTATCCGGGGGAACACCAAGGCGTTCCCAGGCCAGCCGAGAGATATAATCTCTCCAGCGTGTCCTGGGTCTACACCTCACCCAGGAGGCGAACCTTACTCTGAGCCCCTCCCGGATGGTTCATAACATACCATAGTTTATTTATATAGCATTATGGCTGACCAAAGTGTTGTACACCACACATAAAGTTATTTATATAGAAACTCATTCAACTTTTCATGCACACTTATTTTTGCATACCATTAACAGGGAGCTGCAGTTGTTGTCTGTTTGTGTGTGTTACCTGGGTTTTATCCATGCTGCGTGTTTACAATGCCACATTATGAGGGTGTGTCTTCCTCCCAGAGACAAAAATGTAATCCATGCTACGTAAATTATTAAAGGTGAGGACATGATTTCAGGTTGGCATGTGTGTAGGCAACTAATGGTTAAGTCTACAGCAAGTGTTCAGGAAATGAAGGTAAGTCACGGAAGTCATGAATACAGTAGTGTGTGTGTGTGTGTGTGTGTGTGTGTGTGTGTGTGTGTGTGTGTGTGTGTGTGTGTGTGTGCGTGCATCAGTCACTAATTGGGCTGAATTTCATGGAGCAACAAAAGATCAGACTCGAAAATTCCAGCTCTGGTTTGTACAGGCTCTGCTTTGTTGTCCTTTCGCCTCTGTTTGCTGTGTTAACAGTTATGTGTCTCCCTCCCTCTCTCTGTCTCTCACTCTCTCTCTCTCTTTAGGTCTTTCTCTCAGTGTCTCTCTCACCCTTCTCCCCCCTTTTTTGTGCGGCTCATGAAAGGCTTTTTACTCCAAATGAAGCACGGTCAACCCAACTGCTTGGAGCCAAGCAACCGTCAGAGGCCAAATCCTGCGAGGGGCTTCACCTTCTCACATGTCTCTCTTCTCGCTTCACATTGAAACACACACACACACATTTTAGGAGACAGCTGCAATGAAGCCTAGATCTTCAGTGAAGAGGACCTTCATCAGTGTCTCCATCTATGGGAAAAGTACCGGTGCTGAGCTTGGACTTGAGCTTTTGGTTGGATTTTGCGTTTGATCTTAGAGTTGGATAAAGTTTGAGCACAGGATGATGCTAGAGATGCAAAACCCCGAGGATAGTGGTGGTGGTGTTGGAGGTTCTAGCTTTGTGGACATGCTGGGCACTGAAGAGATGGAGTGTAAGATCTGCTACTGCGCCTACAACCTGGGGAGTCGAAGGCCTAAGGTGCTTGAGTGCTGCCACCGTCTCTGCTCCAAATGTCTCATTAAGATCCTGGATTTGGGTGAGTCGCCTCCCAATGCCTTGGTGTGTCCGTTTTGTCGCTATCTCACTAGACTGCCAGGAGATGCTGTGAGCAACCTGCCAGATGACTGCAACCTGGTGGCAACACTGGCCCTCCAAAACAGGAATCAGAGAAACCGGCAGTTCCACCAGGAGGCAACTACGGAGCTGCTCCTAAGCCCCATGCGCCTGAGCTCACTGATGAGCAGCAATTCACCTGTGATATCTACTTCCTCCTCCACATCTTCCTCTACCCCTTACTCCACCATCCGCAGCTCCCCTAATTTTGTGGTCATTACTATCATGGAGCCTCCGCCCGCATCCATATCCACCCAAGACATCCATCCCTACCAGCAGATGCATGGCTCTCACCTGTCAAACCAGGACTACCACTCATCCAGTCAGGACTCTATGGCATCCATCGCAGAGAGGTGGACAGTGTGGAACTGTGCAGCCCTTCTGTGCCAGACTTCAGCCCGGGCATTGGTATGGGTCCTGGGGCTCTTGTACTTTAGCTCCCTGCCTATGGGGGTTTACCTGCTCATAATGCAGAGGACAACACTTGGGGTGCTTCTGGTGAGCCTGGTTCCTGCCAGCCTCATCGTGATCATGGTCTATGGGTTCTGCCAGTGTATCTGCCATGAGTTCTGGGACTGCTTACCATCATAATGCAACCAAATGAACAGGCAATGCTTTGCTTTGAACATGCTTGACAATAGATCTCCAGAATTGACTAATGGGGATGTTACTGTGTAGCTAACCATGTGAACTGTTATTTGAATGGCATAAAGGTGGAGCTCATACA